CCTCCCGCCTGCCTCTCTCGCACCCCAGTCTGACGAATTCTGACTTACCCGCCAGGTTTCAGTTCAGAAGCTGCATTTTTGGGGAAATCTTTTTTCCGTCTCTCAGTGTTGGCTTACAGTTCCTAGGTTGGGCTATCAAGGACTCTGTTCCACTGCTTCTAATAAAAACCGCAGTGCTTTTATTTTTATTTTTTTAAATTTTCTTTTATTGTCGACACTATTACAGGTATCTCCCGTTTTCTCCCTTTGGCCCCCTCCGCCCACCCCAGGCCTTTCTTACGCTGTTGTCTGTGTCCACAGGGCTGTTAACAGTCTTTTTCCTGGCCTGTGTCATCCCCAGGTCGTTAGACGCAAGGGGGACAGGCTCATGTCTGTCATCGTCACAGTTCTGTCCCTGGCAACTCTTTGATATAAATTGGTGTTTGAAACCTATTTGCTGAGTGAATTACTTGGTGAAACAGGGGCAAACAAACATGTACTGGAGAGGGCCTCAAGGCTTTGGTGCAGGGTCTGATGACTTCACTTTAGAGCCCCCTTGCTGTTACTCTGTTCTTGATTATGTTTAAGATCATTGTAGTTATTAGATAAGTAAGTTCTGGATTGCTTAAGGTATTATTTTATGAGAAAAATGGTGCTCTGAATTGTCATGTACAAACCCCCACAATTACTGTTTTGTAATTACATTGTCAAAATATCACCATATTCAAGTGTCCCACGCCCAGCAGAAAACGGATAAACTTCATGATTACAGGCATACTCCAACCTTTCTAAGATGAAGCAAAGTTTCCATATTGAAGTAATTGGCTAAATTTCTTAGGTGGGTAAAATCCCGATTACATAAAATTGTAATTTGTTTTACTTGGAATGATTTAAATACATAATTTAAATTAGAGCACTCAAGAAAAACTCTGGGAACTAAAGGTAACAACTTAATTTCTACATTTGTTAACATTCTACCTAACTTAAATTTACATTTGGAAAGTATTATAACAAATGTAGAAACGATGTTCTTAAAAGAACATTTTAAAACATGGAATGTGTCATATGGTCATGTATAAAAAATAATTGAGAGTTTGATTTATAGTATGCATGAAAATATGGATGTTAAATTACATGTATAAATAAATAATATGATTTTCACTAAAATTCTCATCTTAAAGGGTCCTTAGCCAAATGAAGTCAATTAAGATAGAGTATTATTGTAACTATAAAATAAAATGGAAAAAAAAATGCAGTTAGAGTTATAAAAAAAAAAAAAAAGATTAATTCCATGCTTTTCATTCAGAAGAGAGACATCTGATTTAGGAACACACATACAAGTTTGTATGTATGTACATATGTAAACGTGCATATATTATGTACATGTATGTATGCATGCAGGTATATATATTTACATAAATATGTTTATGTATATATTTGTGTGTGTTTCATGAAATGCCAATACTAACACATTATCCCAGGTAAATAAATAAATTTTTTTTGTCCAAATAGTTTTATAATAAATTAAGGTGATATTTCTTTAGGGACTAGAGTAGCACTTTGAAAAAAAGCCCTAATATTTGACAGCTTCATTCATTAGGATGTGGAGTCTATATCTCCACCCTTGAATCACTACTTGGCCATGTGACTTTAACTGGTTAGTGGACACTAGCAAATGTGATACAGGCCACAGTTTCAAAACTATTATCATGCTGGGGCTTACCCCCTCTCACTACTGGGAGCCCTGTGACCATGATGGATGATGCGCAGAAACCCAGACTAGCCTTCTATTGAGAAGTCATGTGGAAAGAGCTCTCAGACATCCATGGCCTTCCAACCCCTTAGCTGAGAGCCCAGACCATGAGAACCATCCAGAAAATCCACAGAATTTTGAAAAAGAATAAATGTATATTGTTTCAAGCTGCTAAGTGTTGAGGTGTATTGTTATACAGCAAGAGCTAAGCAGATATAGATACCTACAAGCAAGGTACTGCCAAACAGTAATATAAAACATATGACATTAGATTTGGGGTCAGAAAGCAGGAAGAAGCTGGAAAAGCTGTGAATAAGTGGCTAGTAAACACTAGATAGAACAATGGGTAGGAAACTCAGTGAAGTCTAGAAAAATGGCACAGAACAGACTGGAAAATAGCAACCCATGTTACATAGTAGCAAAACAATTGGCAAACTGTCGCCTGTCATAACTTGGAAGACAGAAGGTATACCAAATCAACTTTTGGGTTTGGCTAAGAAAATCTCCAAACAGAATGTTGCAAGTGTCAGTGAATGCTTAGGGTTACATATGCTAAAATGGGGAGATACCGAAGAGCTGAAGAAGGAACTATTCAGTTTGCAAGAAGAGTTCGGAGAGGAGGAGCTGGGATGTGCATTGCTGGAAAACTAAATAGTCTCCCTAGTTCAATTAAAACTGGAATTTCTTCAACTCACACTTTTCTCACTGCTTACAACTAAAATACACTGTAACAGAGTTGGTTTCTATCTATGAGGAAGGAAACACTTCTCTTAGTATTTCCTCTTATGTAGGCCTGGAAGAGACTCTGAGCAGAACTAGGAAGAGTGCAGAGCCAGAGCATGTGCTGTGGTGACTCCTGCAGAGCCCAGAGTTCCTTGTGCCCAGCCCTGTGGAGCTCCCATTTCTCGGCTTGGAATAACAAAGACTACTCTTAGTAATTTTGTAAGCTACAAACAATTGCTATAGGTCACAGGTAATTCTTAGAAAATGAATGCTGATTTTTCAGAGTAGGTATCTAATCTCTTGCTACTCAAAGTATGGTTCTTAGACCAACAACGCTGGCATCATCAGGGAGCTCGTTACAAAGGGAGAGTACCAGGTCCTATCCCACATCTTCTGGGTCAGACTGTGCAATTTAACATGGTCCATGGGTGATTGATTATATGTACATAAATTTTGGGAAGCATTGGTCTACTTCCTGGTCAAAAATATATAGGTCATTACACTCTTAAAATTTCTCCAAAGCTACTAACTGAGGTTTTGTGGTTCCTCAAACTCAGAACCTCTCTTCTGTTGTCATGTGATCTGTTCTTGCATCATCTAAAGTCCAACAACTCCAAATTTATTAGGGTGAATGTAGTTGTCTATGTTCTGTTGTCTTTGACTAATTAAAACAGTGGTCTTCTATGACTAAACCTATATTTTGAGAGGCATGATACAGTACAGACAACATGGGCCTTAGGGCCATGCTAATTCTACATTAAAATCCCAACTTCTCTACCTATTAGTTCTGTGACTTTGGGAAAAAATTACTTAATTTCATTGAGTCTCAGTTGCCTAACTCAGAAAGTATAAATAATAACAGTTTATTTAATATCATTATTAAGTAGACTCAATAAGAAAGCCTATATGATTATGCCTAATGAAATAGCTGGCTCATGACAGACTATAAATAAATGTATGTTTTCCTTGTGACTATGGTTGGGATGCCAAAGTTAAATACACAATTAAGACACTTTAATGAATTTTTAAAAATTACTATTTGGGGGTCCTATGAGTTCTAATGCACGAAGTGATATTTTGAATTCTCAAGGAAGAGTTTCCATATGATCCACTCATACGGTACATGAGCCAGGCATCATTGGTGGCTTAGGAAGGACGCGAGGTCTCCAGCTGATGGTTTTGCGAGGTTGTACAGAAGCCCACCCCGTCCCTCTGCAAGAACAGCATTGTTTATTCCTTTCTTTCCTCTTTCCCCTTTTAGCAATGTGACCTTCCTTTTTAGAGTGTTAGCAGTGAACTCGGAGAAGGGTTTACACTGCCAGCTGTCGGTCCAGATAAACAGATTTGTATTAATCCACTGAGTAATTGGGAACATTTCATCTAATAAGGCATTTTGCTTAGCTCATGCCAACTGACCTGGGCGAATAAAAGATGTGCTGTGTCATCTGCTTAGGAGAGTAAATTTGATTGTGAACATACATCCATGGTGTCATACTATATCACTAGAGAAAAACTGGGAAGTTAGGGGCTGACCTGAAAGACACAATTTCCACTGAATTAATGTGCCTCTGAGATCTTCAAATACCACTCCTCAGAGAACAGTTTCAAGTGTTACTAGAGCAATTACATTCCATATTAGACTGTTCTAGTTCATGTAGTTTTATGCAAGGAATGAAATAAAACTGTCTTATTAATTTTAGGTTTTAAACAGATCTGAAATGTAAGAAATGTACCTTTTTGAAATAATCCTTACTGATGGAACCCACAGAGCAGCATGTTAAGGACATTAAAGTCAAAGAAGAAGATAAACATTGAAGAAAAATATATGCAGTTTCATTTTAGAAGCCTCACTTTCTAGAAGTTATATATAGGAAAACAGAAAATCAATGTTAGGATCAGGCAGAAATCCAAGCTGGTGAGTTGGTACCTAATGGGAAATATTCCATTAAATATCATCAGTTACATTTTACATGGGCGTCTAGTAACATGGTACCTCTATAAATAAGTACTTTGAATCTGTAATTTAATTATATTTACCATAAGACTTGTTTAGAGAAAATTTACTACTTTAGTGCTTTTGGATGCAACATAAATCTGTGTTTATTGATGAAGCAGGGTTGTAAGTGCTCAAGTAGTCCTTAATAGAAAAATATCATCATGAGTAACATATGAGAGCATAAACTGGTCCTATAAAATGTGTTATTTACCAAGAGAAAAGTATCATCTAAAACCTTAATTTCTACATGTAAAAAAAAAACTGTATAAAGCATCTACATTCACGTACTCTGGAAGGACATTGAAACTTGTTAGAATTACCACCAGGGGAGCCATAGCATATCAAGATCTGACTTGTCAGAGCCCCAGATTAAGTTGATTCTCATATTCTGGCCTATATAATAAAGACACAGATCGTATTGTGGTTGGCAGCAATTTGGAGCAGAGCCATGTTGTATAAATTGATTGTGAACAAAGAGAAATTACTCAAGAGAAAAGTCAAAACAATGATGCAGCCAGAAATTGCTTTTTAAAGTGCACACAGACATCTTTAAATGCACTCATTTGACTTATACTGGGACTTACGGGCAGAAGAGAAACCATCTAGTTTAGTGCAATCAGCTGATTTTTCAGATGAGAAAGTTAAGACTTAGAATAGTTACAGGCTCAAACTCCCAACATCACTTAAGAGTTCTGAGTTCTACTTACTCTTAAACTGACTTCAGCACTTCGTTTTTCCCACTAAAACTCAGTGATGATAATAATACATACTGGTTAGTCATGGACCCCTTGGTTTCTTCATATGGCATCTTTTCAAACACACCAGTGTCACAATTTTTACCACATTCACATAAAACTATCAACATTTATTTAATAATGTTAATATTTATTCTGTGAATATTCTTTTTAGCTTGTCATAAAGGTATTGTTAAAGTTATAGATCAGATGTATGTTATGTGATTTTTAATTATAACCATAAATAATTATATTATTTTTAAGATAAAGTGGTTAATTTGCTTACTGTCTATAATCACATTATGTAGCTCACTTTCGGAAACTTTTCATCTATTTCTATCTCCAACAGATATTTATTGAACTCTCAACTATTACAAATAGCATGTTAGGAGCTACACTGGAAGGTACGTAAAGATGTATAAAATATGATCTCCATTTCACAGGACTGGAAATTGAATAGAAGACAGAGGCACGTATGTATGTGGTGTAAAGGAGAAAATATAAAAGAATGGGGGCGAGTGCTGAGTTGAAACAGTAAATCGCCTCAAGTCTGTACATTCACTCACTGTTTCAGTCCATGACTGTATTACATTCTGCAACGTGGTGCAGAAAACCACCTATGGAAACTGCAGTGAATGAGAATCACAGTCATTCTCTACAGAACAATCGTGAGAGAGGTGTCCTATTTATCTTTACATATATATTGAACTTCATTTTCATCTTGCCTCGGCCCACAGTTTTACCTAGCTGTGCTTATGGCACTGCAGATGTCTGGTGTCGGGGTGCCTTAGTATGTGTGACATTCCACAGAGAGGGGCGAGCAGGACACGAGAAAGCTGAGAGCCCAAAGCCAACAGTCATTTCCATTTGCAGGGCTCCCCTTGGGAAAATGTCTCCCTGTACGTCAAATCATATTTCTGGGGCAATCAGTGTTTTTAATTAAAACAAGCAATCTATATCCACAAGGTTAAGCATTTTGATTCTTTACCTGTTAGTTTATGAGGTGAAACTCCAATAGGCTAATTATTTTGCATCTAAACATTCTTATTCTCTGCAGGGTTCTGGACTCTGTCTTATGACTATTAGAGAAAGTAGAAGTGACATCATATCTTTGTTGCAAGAGCGTAAGCTTTTGATTGTTTCCACAATAAATGTGGATGCAGCTCATCCCCATTCCCATACCAAAAGCAACAGTCCTTACTGCTTCGGATGACTCCAGTAAAGCACGAGCCCTGTGTACCCTGCAGTCCACCCCTCTCGCAGAGTGGGAGCCAGTGGGGAGACACTTGTTCCTTCTTGCCTCTTCTCCACTAGCAATCCTTTCATCAGTGCCCCAGCACGTGTGTGTGAGGAGAGCCAAGAAACAAACCAAGGCATTGAAGACCTGGAACATGACTGGGAGCCGGAATTGAATTTTATTAAGGTACAGAGAATTTAAAGTGGAAATAAGTTTCACTAGATATAGTGAGCTAGGAGGAAGAATCTTCCAGGGATCCTAGAGCCCTCCATGACAGGCTGCTGAAAGAGAAAGAGAGATCAGCAGAGAGAGGAGAGCAGAGGGTGGGCTTGCTCCAGCTGTCTGTGGCAGCGGCTGGGTCTTAGAAATTCCTTCCTCCTGGCCACCTCACAAACACAAAGAGTGCTTCTGGCTGCCAGTGGGAAGTACTGTTTTACCCTCCCATCCAAAGAAGCCACTTATTTTCTTAGGAGTGCTGCTGAATTTGGAAATCACCAGAGGGAAGTTCTCCACTGGGAAGGACATTCCCAGTCAAAGCTCTCATACTACGAAATACTGAATCTATGCTGGTCCCAAAGGCACTGGATGTCGCAATAATATGCTCAGCCTGTTGACTAATGGAGTTCACTAGGAAGATGTATTTCCTAGAGAATGTTCAGAGGGGTTGAAGTTTGGGGCACTATCTTGTTATAGCAATTTTCACAAGTAGGAGGGCTACTTCGTGCATGTGGTGGCAGAGAATTCATGGATCAAGAACAAGGTTCTGACAAGTTGCGGTCATCAGAAGACAGCTCCATTCTTTACATTTTCTGCAGGAAAAGGGCCTCAAAACATTACAAGGAAATAGCTGGTAGGCACATAGGACATCATCAGCCTTTCTATTCTACTCCAGCTTCCTTGTTTTTCCTGCCCTTCCTCCTCTCAGAGTCTTTTTTTTTAATCCTCACTTGAAGATGTTTTATTGATTTTTATTTTATTTTATTTTTTTAGAGAGAGAGGAAGGGAGAGAGGGAGAGACACAATGATGTCAGAGAGCAACACTGACCAGCTGCCTCCAGTACGTGCCCCAACCTGGGATAGAAGCCACAACCTAGGTATGCACCCCGGCCGGAAACCAAACCCGCAGCCTTCTGGTGCACAGGAGGACGCTCCAACCAACTGAGCCACCTGGGCAGGGCTATACCTGTTTTGATTGTCTTATTGTCTGTGACATGTCCACTGTAGGACGGCAGAAGAAAACAAACAGGCAAAGATTAAGCCAAAAGATTTACAATCGTGACTGTAGCTTTGATGACATGTTGACAACAAAACTAGAATAAAATAGCAACGGAGAAATATTTTTTTTCTTCTGTACCTAAAATCCTAGGAAGCTGAGGAAGATTTTCTGAAAGGAACATGAGCCCTGTGAACATCTCCTATACACCCAGGCACGTACTCCATTTTTACCTTCAGGCTAGTGAGGCCTGAGAAAACTCAGATCTCACCAGTGCAAGTCCATCAGGCCTCACCTCCCCAGCCATTCATTCACACAGACCCTCAGTTCCCTTCTCAACCTTGTCAGATTATTTGTAGGCATTTTCAGGTGTATTATACGGCACACCTTCCATAAAAACTTGCCACCTTGAGTCCTCTCATAAGGTTGGGGTAGCACGAAGGCATTGTTCTCAATTGTTAAAAGCAAAGTCTTTGAAATCAACTGATATCACTTACCTAACTGTGACAAGGTACGTAATTTTTCTGCCTCGATGTCTGGACCTGTGAAATTGGAATAATAAGAGTATCTGCCTCGTAGTGTTGTTGTGAGCATTCAGTGAGGAAATAGTGTAAAGAATGTAAAATGTTGCCTGGCACATTATAAGCATTCAGGAAATTCTAGGCATTATATTGCTGTTAGGCCTGCCCTATACCCTTTCCCACCAGCGCTGGCGCTCGTATTAAGGACCGCTTCCTGAAAAGTCTTCTAGGTTTCTTCCAGGAGTCCAAGGTTGGCCCCTCCGTGAGAACACTGACATCTGTGCCCAGTGTTGCTTCCCAAGCCCTGAGAGGTGAATGCCATTGATGAGCAACATTGGTGACACACTGGTTTCTGCACAGAACATAGACCATACCCACTGCACCACTCGCACCTGTCTCCTAGGCACAAATGTGACGGAACTTTGGGCCTCCCTCCATCGCAGCATTATTCACGGTGGCCAAGACATGGAAACAACCAGTGTCCTTCAACAGAGCAGTGGACAAAGAAGATGTGGTACATATATACAACGGAATCCTACTCAGCCATAAGAAAAGATGAAATGCTGCCATTTTGTGACAACTTGGATGGATCTTGAGAATATCACGTTGAGTAAAATAAGTCAGACAGAAAAAGTCAAGAACCACATGATTTTGCTCATATGATTTCACTCATAAAACTGAAAGCAACAAATGAACAAATTGGACAAACAAACAAATAAAAACTCAGGCACAGACAATAGTGTGGCGGTTACCAGAGGGAAGGGAGGTGAAGGGATACTAAAGGGTAAGTGGGGTCAGATATATGGTGACAAGAGAAGATTTGACTTCGGGTGGTGGGCATACAATGCAATATACAGATCATGTATGATAGGAATCTACAGTTGAAACCTATATAATTTTATTAAATTATGTCCTCCCAATACATTTAATTAAGAACAACAACAAATTCCTCCTTAAGTATCAGTGAGAATCTCTTCTCTATGATTTAGATTTCTCAATTGTAAGCTTGGGATAATAGTTACCCTGCATTCTATGGTTTTCATAAAAATTAAATGTGGAGTATCTAGTATCTAAACCAACCTCAGTTCTTCTCAAGCTTAAGGTATGAGTAGGTCTGATCAGATTTCAGAAAGCATTCATGCTTCGTATCAAAATCAGCATTTCTCTAAAGTGAAACGATTCCTTGTTATTTTGGATGTTTACTTGCCCCACTAATGTGGAAGCAGGAAAGTGCAATCATAGTATTCATTAGGTTGAAGATACATAATCTTTGTCTCTCTCCCCAGTGATTAATTTTTCTTTTTCTCATTCATATTCAATTTGTCTCTCTTTCCTAAATAAGCTCTTTCTGTCTTTTGGAGCCGAAGGCAATATTATTAAGCCTATGTCCTATTTTCTTGATAACTCCAAATAAAAATGATGAAAATATACTTTGGTTTAAACCAGAACATTCCAGATATTGAGCTACTCCTAATGCAATTTCCTATTACTTGGTATTCATTTGGGGAATCATTTATCTATAAAAAACAATCTTAGCTTATAAAGTGTATTTTCTAAATTATGTATTAATAAACATTTCCCATTCTCCTTGAAGGGTTGAAATTCAATTTGATTCTACAAGTATTTATTGAGTACCTCATATATAAAATATACTGGTTAGGCATGGTGTGGGATGCATAATAAATAATATTTGTAGAGCAAGTTACTACTTACAACTTTTTTGAGAAAAGATAATTATTATTGCTATTTTGCAGACAATAAAAGGGGGTTTAAAAAAGTTTCAGACCTTGTTCAAAGCCCATCCTGGAACTCATACGTGCCAGAGATGTTTCACAAAACCAAGGCCTTTGAATCTATATTCAATGTTCTTTCCAACAACACATGGAATTTCTATTCTAGCCATCAATGTAAAATACATTAGGAGACACAGGTAACTTTAACACCTCACATAATATAATAAATTAAAACTGAGGTTCCAAAACTTAGTAAAATACAGAGAACAAACATTTTCAAATGGCTTAGAAAGTCTTCATAAAAAACAGAATTTAATCTGGATTTGAAGGATTATTTGTGAATTTTATTGTTAAGTGTAATGGGACCTTTCAGAGAGAACTAATTTATTTGTTCTAGAGCTTTAGGGGGATCCAAGTGTTTCTTCAGAATAAATTTGGTTGAAACAGATGGGGAGGGCCTATTAACTGTTAACGGCAGTAGCTCCCTTTGTAGGTAGTCACTAGCTATTGACACAGGAGACCTGGTGAAATTTACAGATGCATCAGAACTGCAATCCTCACAGCTTGGTCCGGTACAGAAGCCTCTAGAGGTGACCCCAAACCTTATCATCCCACAGATTCCTCACTTCTTTTCTCAGTCCTATGTCCACAACCATAAAATTGATTAAATCTTATAATACATCCTTAATTACTCTATTCGTTTTATAAATGTGCATCTATAGAATACTATTAAGGGAGTAGAGAAGAAACTTGTCTAGGAGAGTAATGATCTAGGTAAGAACATTATGGTTCTTTACAGAACGTAATAAGACCTAACCATGATACCTTTGGTGATATCTTAACATACATCCAGAGTCTTTCAGTTTATTCACAGGAAATATTTGATATTACTTTTAATTTTACCTCCCATCTTCCTGTGTTCTTTTGCTTTGGAATTAGTCTTCCTTGTGTTTTCTGCACTTTACTCAGGAAATATTTGGAAATGCTGAAAGTTTTGTGACTGGAGATGACTTGACCAGAGTTGTGCTTTAATATTTTTCTTACCATGGCATGTAATATAGATTAAAAGAAGAAATCGCAGTAAGATAAATACTCATATTAGTGTTGTTCACAAAAGAGAGAAGGCAGTTCTTAACTATGTTATTCTTAGTTGTAATAAAAAGGAGAGGAATACAGTAGAAGACAGTAAGGAAGTGTAACTTACTTCCTTACTACCTTACATGATTTAGCATGAGATTTGTAATGCAGACCTACTGTAGGAAGGACTCTAAGGTTTTGTGCCTATTTGACGGGGACAGTCGCTAATGCCAGTGGAGATTAAGATGAGAAATAGTAGCATATGTAAGGAGAAAGTGGCTGATTAGTTGTAGGCATGTCAAATTTGAGATGATAACAGAACATTCATA